AGAAAGGAAGCACTAGGATTAGTCTCGTTCCTACTTACAAAACATGCCTCCTTAGTCACAGCCATTGGGTGGGTTAGGAGCCACATCGGCATCCTGGGGAATGAGAAGGCAGACCGCCGAGCAGTATACGAGTCAGCGCTTCGGCGCATTGCTGGGAGCAGCCACTGAACAAATTGCAATCATAGTTCCTAATACTACCTACCGGCTTGCAAAGTGCAAAGTAAAAATCAATAATAGGCAACAATCAAATTAAAAAAATAAGATCTGCAACACCAGGGATTCCCATGTGGTCACCCACCATAGTACTGACCTGGCGATTTGAAGCTTAGATATGGCAGAGCGGACGGGATGCCTCGTTTTCTTCAGTCTATGGTCGCAGATGCTGACTTCTTTGAAGTAAAACTTATGACAGGGCTCATGCGTGAGACAGTCATATCACTTGATAAATGTTATGATGGTATCACGGTCAGTAATCACAGTAACCCATAATCTCTAGGGAACCCCCGCCAGGAATAATGCCCGTCCAGGAACAATTGCTAATACAGTACCTCTGAGGGGCCCCCAAAAGGGTAGTCTCCACTAGGCCACAAATACAACTTTGACCTCGGCAGCAATGCAGGAAGGACTTAACACAACATCAGGGCCAGTCCTTATGGAAGACCCCTTCCGGTTTGTGGACTTTCGAGTCCACAGAGGTGTTCTTCAGTTACATTATAGGGAGCTCTCGAGGGTGTAGTGAGGCGAACTTCTTTCAGCTTATTTATTTTGTTCAGACCTAGGTACAGGACAGTTGGAGAAGTAGGGGGAAAGGACTCAGTAGGGGAATTCAAACCTAAAATAATCGACGTTCTAAACCGAAAATACTCGTTCAAGATTGAGCGACCCTCGATCATACCTAGGGTGTGATCAAAGTGCACGATCAAGGGTGGAAATTACTGTTGAAAAGCACGTATGTCATACCTAGTCTCATGTTACGTGTGTCACACATATCCGCTTGCAGCGATGCCTCACACGTAACTACAGCACATACCTGCTTTATATGAAGCCTCTTACGAGAATCTAGTAGCCACAGACGTAGCTACAGCAAATACTTGCTTTCTTTAGTATATACCTGCTAGCAACTGTGTTATCCCTCTTCATATGTTGGGGAACACCCTTCTAGAGTATAGAGGAATAGGCCCACACGCATACACATACACAAATATTCCTACGCACATATTCTCATATATGTACTCATATCTGCATTCATATATACGTTCATACATGTCACGTACATACGTTTACTCACGTACAGTTCATTCTTACGGTCAAATACACCTTACGTACATATCTCAGGTGAAGTGGTCCTTTATTGGCCATTCATCTATCCACCATTGCTAGTGTTGCTACCCATAACCTTGTCATTCCAACAAACGTTATTTTTGTTAGCTGGGTTCGAGGCTTGGTATCATGTCATATGACTTGACTTGAGCTTGGGTAATGGAAAGATGTAAAGCTGCTCCCACCCACTAGTAAGCTTCTCCGGCTACTCCTCACAATACACCTCAATCTACGAAGACGCCTCACAATACAGTACTGACACTACGATTCCGGCCAGTACCATACGAAGTACAGCCTAGCTGGAATAGGAAGGCTTATCGATAAGAAATACCCCGTAACCAACAACACTGCCAAAGACACAACGCTGCCAAATACAACGCCACCAAACACAATGCGGCGACACACGTTACCGCGACACAAAATCGGAACAGTTCTATTGTCGCGAAAGCCAGCGCATTGAGGCTGCACAACTGGCAGACAAAAGGAAAGGCAAGCAAACAGTCATTACAGCCTTCTTCACTTCATCCAGGGCTGTTCCCGGTTCTCCTGTACCTAGTTCTTCCTTTACCTCACGTTAATTCTCTTTTTTGATGTATACCTTTAGTAGTTACCCTGACATTTGATATAAGAATATTACCCGATGCTTCTCTTATATCTGATGACAACCCGATATTCGATGAGTAGAACCCTGATACCTAAGTCTCGAGGGTTCTGGGATGACATTGTACCAGCATTACCGGAAAATCGTTTCCAACATAATCGAACGATTATTTAAGTTTTGAATACCCCTTGTTACTACCCAATCAGCTTCTAAAACATACCAAACTCAGCCCCGATCAATGTATGCACAACCCCTTGCTGTTAATTCAACCCCATGCAACATATTGTCTAACCATGTAACAGAAATTCTTCTCGATCTTAAACATTTTGAAGCACAATTGACCATCCTGCACAATGACCGGTAGTAACATTTTTATAGACTAGCAAGAATACTTCAATGAAATTTGTTGTGTATACAAACACACCGAAGGCAAATGAAAAGCACGTTGCAGATACTCTATCCACAGCATATATAAACCCGCAGCACAGAAGAAGACTACATTCCTGAAGGCAGCAATGCAACAGCAACTTAACAAGCCTTCTATCACAGTCAATCACTTCATAAGTTTCACTGCCTAGTTATCTACTGGGGCTTCCGGGTACCTTGTCATGGCCCTCTCACGAGGTTAAGAAATAATCTTCCGCCACAAAATATACCAAAATGCCTTCCCTAACTCCAAGAGGTTGACTGCAACTACAACAAGTATCGAGGTCGACAAGAGTCTCCCTCAGAAACCACTCCCCCTGCCCACTTCAGGAAAGGAAGAGAAAGGAACTTAAGCGGAACAAGAATGACATCGTCAAGGGAAAAGAACCATCCTCTGATGATGAATTCAAAGATATTCTGCAAAAATTTTCCAAGGGTATGTATCCCAAAACTATAGTCACAAAATCGAGAATACTCAATCAATGCGTACAGCTATAAGCCCGAGGAATTGTGGATCACAACACCTAAACCGAATCAAGCTCCTCACCAACCTTATGCAACAAGGAAGATACCATCTAACAAGCATGAAAGAAATATTGACAATATCGACTACTTCACTGGACTGCAAGGAATGTCTACTTTGCCGGATGCATGCTTGTGACCTCCAGATGAACAATCGATACTCCCTGTACAGCATTTTCTCAATTTGCGAAGGACTTCATGTTGATTTAAAAATACTTAACGCGTATTGGCAAAAGAAAAGGAGTGGTGGAGCAAAAGTGGGATAACTGAAAGCGCAGAGAAACCAGTTCAAGACGTGAATGGCTACCGACAACTACCGGAGTAGGAGCTATGTGGCCCCAGCTAAGGACGAGACCATCGAACAAACATAGAAGAACAAACATAGAAGAACTAGACAACATCAATACTTACTCCCATGCACTACATGCAATGGCTACTATTTCCAGACGTATGGTAGTGATTACCAGATGAAATACCAATATCCCTTAAACAGCATTTGTTAGATTTGTGGAGAAGGATCTCATAGTTGTTCTACACTGCAAACCTACTGAGGATGAATTGGCAAAAGAGAAGGAATTGCAAAACGTATATCCATCACACATGAGTTATCCTGAATCCGCCTCTTCCATTCTTCATGTCCCGTTATAATTGTTTTTGGGTTTTAAGGTCACTTATCTTCGCGTCGTTACTGTAATTTTTTCTTTGAGATTCCATTGACTCTCATTCTGCAGTCAGTTTAACTACTGTGCGTACGCTTTCCTATTGGCTGATTATTTGAGATCCCTGCTCGCTGGTTACCCTGAAGTTCCGTGTACATATACAGCTCTCCATTTCTTTTCTAATTAAGCAAGTCTTCACGCACGCATAGTCCGTTATCTGTCTCCAGTGAACTCTACACTCCTTCGGTAGTATGACCTTGAAGGTCCTATTCGTGTTAGAATGAGTCTAGGTTAGCTTGGAGAGACCTAGAGAATACAAGCTTCTTATACACACCGAAGTCTAGCTACTGTAATCACCCTAAATTACTATCGGAGTAGGAGATGTGTCCCAAATGGTAGAATTATTTTTACGTTGTCTCCGTAAAATATCTTAAAAAATTAGAAGAAATTAGAGGAAATACTCCAGCTGGCGCTCTCAAATGATTACATCAAGCAAACAAAGAGTTTTTTAGGAGGCTGTTGGACGAGAGAATAGTTAATTCCCTTTAGCTATTATGTAGATAATTTTGGATTATTAGGATTGCGATGCTCTGTCTAATTTATTTCTATCTCTCTCACTTTTCCGTTTGACCTACCGGTGCTTGTTTTTGGCCAAGATTTTGGGTAGGTCAAATGTCCATTCAGAAATTGCGAAGCATTGATCTACCTTGAAAAGTTCTATCCCACTATTGCGGTCACCCACCAGCGCAACCCACCCCCGGCGTTTGGATACTCATTCCTAAACAAGCCGGAAAAAACAGCCTCGAGATAAGCAAGCCCCTCAACGAGACATGGCAGGCCGGTCAGGTGGGTTTGATCTATCGCAGTGCAGTACTTGTGCTGCAGTGACGGATGATTATCCAATAAGAGATGGGTGAATTCAGGTGGGAGTGATGTGCTTGCGGATGGTTGAGGGCAGGCGAGATCGGATGTAGATTTTGCATGCCTGGAAGTTGAATTGAGCTGGCCAGTTGAAATCGTCCGTAAGAGAGTTGTATTGTATTAATCTGGAACATTGACCCTGTCGTAGAGAAATATAGGCGCTGAGTCCTAGCATCACCATGGAGCATGACGCCATCGATAGCACCCATGAGTCCCGCTAATGACTGTAAAGATGAATATGTGATGCTTGATCGAGCCAGGATTAAGAATTCATTGTGAACGAGTTTTATTACAAAACCCCATATTTATTTTGGTATATCGTTTCCGTTTCTGTTTATCGTATTGTGAACAAGATTGTTTAATTCAAGTCAACGGCATCATTCCGGCGAGTACGTACACTGAGTTCCATTTCTGCTAATAGAACCCAAGGAAAACAATTATTGAATTTTCGTATTTCTTATCATTGGGACCATATGATGAGAAAACATTGCAAAAAGTAAAATGGATCGGCGACAGAGTGAGCAACTCCAGTCGCTCACTCTGTCGCTTAGAGCGTCCGTAGGGAATCGAACCCTCGTTTCCTCGCTTGTACGGGGTGTGCTACCACTGCACCACGGCCGCCTTGTTAGATTAGTAGACTCTGCGCTTGTTTATGAAGACGTGGTGAGTTAGAAAGTTTGAATGGCATGACATGTGATCGTTCAGGGTAATGCTCGCTTAGGCTTATAATTGCTTGGTAATGGCTAAATGATGCAGTGAATTAGCAAATGCGAGAGTCAACGACAAGATGTAACCTGTTCGGCATATTAGCCTGGGTCTTTGGGAATACTGTAAGCACCACCTCTCAAAAGATCTGCCTAGTCTGCTGCATGTTCAGCTACCGCCTGGAGCACACTCCCAGGGTCACCTACGATGGTGGAAGAATATCTGGTTTTTACCACAGAGGGGATAGTCCGGTGAAGACCATTTTTCCTACCTCTAATCACTCCAGTCAGGGCTTTCGAGCTTATCTGGAACTACCGGTTTATGACAGCCTTGTTTGTTCATCCTTGACGTCCTTGCTTTTGCCATTTGGTACTTGATTTATCGTTTACTCCCACCTAGTGCTTTTTGCCAATTGGAACTTGAGTTTATTGCTGCGGAATATAGGCGCTGGAATTCCCGGATTAACTAGCCTTGTTCTGAATCCACGTGGCTAACCATGGCCCCTTACTAGGACCGCATAAGAGTAATGAGTATTTAAAACAATAAAAAAGAATAGTTGGTTAAAGGGAGGACATCACTCAACCAGGACCAAAAAGGTCCAATAGAGCTCCGAATGCCACCAAAACCAATTGATTTAGTAGAATAGTTGGCCATTTTCTACGTGAAGTCAGTGCAAGGTATAGATAAACTATGGACGAGAAGGAGGTTATTTCGTACCACATGATACGGCTGGGCTACCTAGTAGGAGGGGGTTGACTGGAAACCACAAAAGCAACGCCCCCAATTAAGCCAACCGTCAGTACAGATTACTGGGAGGGTTGTGACTTGAGCCTAGGGGTGTATATGAGGTGCCTTATTGAGGGAGGGGAGGGTATACGCTAGTTGGGATTTAGTTGGGGGGCAGGGCACTTCGGAGAAGTTCGTTGAGGAATAGGTGGTTAGGGAGATGCTAGATTTTAGGTAGAGAGCCACGATCACCCAGGTTTTTTGCAGGCTATAGACGTAGGGAAGTGTGACGGAGCCGAGGGTACGTAACACCCAAGATAAGTTGACGAAATAATGCATATTATGTATTCTGTGTATCGTTATGTTGCAATTGTGATTTTGCTGGATATACCCCGCAACGTACCTAGAACAAAAAGATGAATTTGCAAACAATAAGTACGATTGAACAATAGTGGTAGTGGCAAGGTGGAGATGCATAAAGGCCCAAGATGCTGCAGAGGAGCTTCGGAGGCAGAGTCGGGGTAGAGTAGCTGTAGCGCTGTTGATTGATACTTCGTGTCATATATCGGTTTTGGTTTATGTATGGGGGATTTGGGTACGGAGTGTAGAGGAAGCGTGGCTAGTATGGAACAGCGCTGTGGTGGATCTCTGTGGATCGCCATGTAGTCATTGGTTCGATATCCTGTGTACCAGTAATGATTGGCTAAAGCGGGGTATTATTCTGTACGTGTATTGTGGCATCTGAGGTAGTTATCCAGCCCGTGACAGTGGAATGGAACGAGAAATTGCGGTTGGTTCGGTGGTTGATGCTAATCTGGTTGTACTCTCCCAAGTTGATGCCACGATATAGTTAGATCCCGCTGCAGTGTTGTAGTGTGGCATCTTGTTCCGGCTGGAGGCTTGTTCTGGCTGGAGGTATGTGCAGACTCCCTGTGGGTTGGGATGTGGAGAATTCCGAGGCAAACTGGTTTTGCATGGCTAGGAAAAGACTTGTGATAATGGAATAGGTTCGATAGCAGTTTAATATTGCTTCAACTTGATACTGGAGGCCTGTACGAACGATGTAATCTGTGTGATTAGAAGTAAGTACTAGCCTCCCAGCGCGTAGAGGAAGTTACCTGGTGATTGACACACTTGCAGGAATAGTGAATTCTACCCGTGGAGATGTGATGTTAACGCAGACAGGTAGATGAAACAATATCGTATGCTCAATACAATACTTAGGAGTATATATAAAGTTCGGAATGCGTAGCCTTGGTTACTGTGCCCCACCTGTCCATCCCCTCTCTTAACTCAGCCTTGAAGGCCTACCTCCGACGTTGCAGCTAACAAGAAAACGGGCGGAATATCCTTATGGTGAGGTTCTTGTTGGGGAGGCGAAAAGATATAAGCTGTTCGAGAAGGGAGGTATGTTGCTTCAATGCAAGGCGCTGCCTTCTTGACTGTGTTCCGTGACTCATCTCTTGGCTTTCGATCATGACTGTTTCTCCGCCATTTTTACGCTTTTTGGGTGCCATTATGTGCCGCGCGGGGAAGGGGGGGCCACGTCTTTCAAATTTTACTGTTGACGCTCTCTGGGTCCTCCCATGGGCTTTGATCCCACGCAATCACTTGGTGTTGAAAGAAATACTCTCGCATACCAGGTCCCAAGGGTTGAAGAAGAACATCGATGCCAACAGTGGACAATTGTGACAGGACGGTCCAAAAGTAGGTAAATGTGACCAGCGGAGGGGCATATAAGAGGAAGGTTTCTCCTTGATCGTTAGAGTGGTTCAATCATAGCAGCCCGCAAGCGTCGGCGGGCTTTGCAAAATATTCGCCAAACTGTAGCCCCAAAACTGTGATCAAAGGGCAGATAGATGGCTTGACATATCTTTTAATTAATTTGCAGGTGAGTGGTGTGTAGGCCTGGGCACGAGACGTCTCGTCATTTAGCAGGTTGGTCTCGAGACTTTTCCATATCGAGCACCCAACACAATCATGATTATATTCGAACACGCTAGCTAGGTGCAGATAATGAGTGGAGAAGGACGAGGGAAGTTGTTGTTTTCGGGACTCCGTGAGTGTGGTTGCTACCTGTGGCGGAAAAGCACTTTCAGCCCAACTCCTGGGAGGCCCGTTGGTTTATATACTCTCCCGGTATCATTTCTCTCACCAAACCCCCCATGGCGTAACGGCCCCGGCTTCCGGGTTCTGTTCACATGGGGGGCGCGGTTCGACAACAGTCCAGGGTTCGATTCCCACCTTAGACGTGGGAATTTAACCAAGCTACCCAACTAAGGGTGGCTACTGGCAAGGGAGTACCTCCACCTGACTTAGGCAGGGCGGTGGGAACCCTTTTTTGTTTTGCAACTCAGCGCGAGTATACTCATTTTTTCATTACAGCTCGTGATCGCAGCTCATGATTATTCTGACTCGCAGGAGTATGGCTACCTATTTCTTTTTTTTTCAGCTCGTGATCGCAGCTCATGATTATTCTGACTCGCAGGAGTATGGCTACCTATTTCTTTTTTTTTAAAAGAAATACTCAGTACTCATGGGGAGCCACCCGGAATCCCGAGGGGATTCAGGACAAGACAAGTAAATACAAGACAAGTAAATCTGCCAGGTCCACGCTAGATACAAATAACTTGACAAGTGTGGTCGGGGCCTCTCATGCTGTCATTAACCGTCGTATGCCAGATGACCCCGAAGGGCCTGACTGGAGACCGACCCTGAGAGAGAATAGGTCAGAATAAGTAAGGAACTGGTGAACTAAGAGAGCTCGTGAGATAAAAGCGCCAGAAACAGTGAAGTAAGGGAACTCGTAAAAATAAAACCACAGTTGGAGAAAGAAACAGTGGACTAAGGGAACTCGTACAAATAAAACAAAGGTCGAAGAACTAAGGGAACTCGTGAAAAATAGAGTAAAAATCTGTGAACTGATTGAAACTCGTGAAAATTAAAAGGCAGAAAAACGGCGAGGAGGTTAGGCTAGCTCGCTGTACAGGTATCCGAAAAACGCCTCTGTCGCCTCAACAGCCTCCTCCCCCTCCTTCCTACATTCCGGCTTGTCCAACTCGTCCCAGGGGCTCTTTCCCATCTGTGGGCACTCGAACGTTATGTGCCGTGAATGTTCCGTAGTATGTCCGCACTGGCATGCCTGGTATGTATCTGGTTTGCCGATGCAGTCTAGCCACCAGAGAGAGCCTGTCTGTTCCATTCGCACCTCCGCATCCCAAACCCCTTTAGAACCCTTGCCTCCCTCCCTCCGTGGCGGTACTAGATGCGACTCATATGATGCCGGTGCCTATGTGGCGCCTTACCCATGCGATCCTGACGTCCCTAATGTCAGTAGATCGGACTAGGGCATCCTTGATGTCCGCCTTGATGCCCAATCTCAGGGATGCACCGCGGTTCATGTTACACACTGCCTGTTTTGCTGGTTGTAAGTCCGAGAGGATCGTGATCATGGTCGAACGCTCTGCGCTCGAGGCCAGGCGCATCGAGTGTTATTCGCCATCCATCGACGTGGCTACGTCCCCCAGGTAACCTCCGTAGGTGGCCTCTGCGTTGCCATTTCTGTCCATGCTGTGAGTTGCGCCCGCGACCGTCCCATGTCTCCCCGTGCCGTCGGTGTAGCAAACTCCCCAGCCTTCGTCCAGGATCGACTCAATCTCCGCTGCCAAATATCCTTGATGCTTCGATTTCTCAGAGCTCGGGACAATGATCGTCTGATGTGTGATCGGGCTTATTCTCGTGTCATCCCTGTTCCCTAGGGCCGGGCACGAGACGATATGCCTCAAGACGGTTCGGCCAGAGTCTTGGGACGTATCGAGACCAGGGTCCAGTCTTGTCTCGAGACGCAGGCCTATCTGTTCCCATTTGAAATTTTGCTTGGCAGAAAGCTACCGTAAGTGGAGAACTGACCGCGTTTTTCGATCCATTCTACCGACCCTATCTCTGCAGCAACCAGACTACTCTGCAGCCCAAAATCCCTTGCATTTCGACCTCTCGAAGGTCGGGTCTATGATATGCTCGAGGATCAAGGGGAAGGACCTTGGCTGAGATGGGGTCTTTTTTCGGTAACAGATGACAAAAGAAACAGGTCGGAGCTGGAAGGAAGGAGGGGGGGTCGAGATTTTCTGATGTTCAAGCGTTGTAGATCGCTGTTCATATGTGTCCGGCATTATTTATTTTAGAACTACCGT